CTTTTGATAAATATTTAATAAACATTTGTTGAGTATCCACTATATGATAAGGGATTTGGATCAAAGATGGTCTTGCTTTCAAGGACTTCATGGTCTAATGAGGGGGAAAATCTAAAATGAACTATGAGTGGCAGATATATGTGTCATGATCAAGGTATGTAGCCAGATGTATAAGAATACCTTAGAAGGCCTTTGCTGGGTAGCTCAGTTAGTCAGAGCATCATCTTGATACATCAAGGTTGCAGGTTCCATCCCCAGTCAGGGCACATACAAGAACCAAACGATGAATGCATAAGTAAGAACAACAAATCGAAGTTTCTCTCTCTCTCTCTCTCTCTCTCTCTCTCTCTCTCTCTCTCTCTCTCAATAAATTAAAAAGAAAAAAAAAAAAAAAAAGAAATCCTCAGAGGAGAGTTTGGCTCTAATATCTCTCTTCTCAGGCCAGGAGATGGGTTCTTGAGTCTTCAGAGATTATTTAACCTCATTGAGTCACCTCATCTCCGAAATACTTGCTATGAAAGACTAACATACTCTGCCTGGTGTGTAGGAGGTACCCACCTAACTCCTTTCCCCACTTTGTCAAATGTTTATAATGTTGGATTGAGCACTGCTGCAGTCATGCATTATTAGCAGGTACTTTCATCTGACAATGAACTTCCAACAAATTCAAGTCACAGGATTACATAAAACAATGTTCCTTATTTGGCCAGCTATGCACATTTGCAATCTTACAGGATGAGCCCACCTACAGTGAGACATGCCTCCCATTTTCTAGTTAAGTAGCCCACCTCCTCTCTCTTCATCTTTGGGCTGCAGCAGAGTTCACCTAGAACTCTGGGCAGCTTAGGTTTACAGACAAGGCCCACACTCTGCAAAATCCCAACCTCTTACCTTCCTCCATCCCTGTTATTAAGAGTTACTGCACTTTCCAGAAATCTATTTTACCCCAGGATTTAGGCACAACCATACTAATTATAGTATTACCCATAAAAGCAAGAGACTGTTAACAATTGATACCACAAGGCTGGAAATTGTTTAAGTAAATTATGGACCGTCCACACAAATACCATATAGCCTACATTCAAAGTGTTTTGACATTCTTCACGCTAAAGAAGTTGTATGTTGTACATATAGTATAAATGCTACCATATAAAACAAAATGCAGGGGAGACTGATAAAACCCAAATGTTAGTGACTTTTAGCCTTAAATGGAATCTGTCGCCTTTGTTTTTCGCTTTTTTCTTCAAAAAGGTCTTGCAACATCTGGATATTATCCTGGATAAAGTCCCCTACCTGGAACATGTCAATTTCTCTGCAACCCATCCATTCCTTACACATCCCCAAGCGAAGATGCCAAGCTTTAGTCCCTTCTCCATTGGCTCATAGCAACACCACCTTTGAAGTTCTTGCCCTCCTCTTAGCCTCTCTCCTCCTTCCCCAACTTTGTAGTTAATATAGTCTTCTCCTACCCACAGGACTTTAATGCCCCACAGTTAAAAGCCTGATGGGTTTCCGACATCTATGCTGACTGATCCAATTCTCTGGTTTCCTACTCTCCCGCTCTCAGCCCCTCCTGACCACACAGCCCTCCGCCCCCTCCCAGCCCCGCCTATCTCCCTGCTCAACAGGGTTTCTACAGAAGCCTTTCAGCCAGGCTTGCTCCACACACAAGCTGCCCTCATTCTCACTGACAGAACCTAATTAACCCTCCTCTACTGTCCTGACTTCTAAGGCAGGCAAGTTCAAGTTAGTTTAAAAAAACAAAAACAAAGCAAAACCATAACACACCAGTCTAGCTCTGCCACTTTAGCTATACGACATCAGAGAGTTCTTTTCTGGATTTACTTCCTCATCTTTGAGACATTACCCCATAATGTGTGGTCAACATTAACATTTAGCAGTTGCTGTCACTTTCCTCTCAAAATGTAATACTCTCCAGCCCAGCTCCAAAGTACTGAACCCTTACCGCATTCCTCTGGTCTGCAAATAACCGTTTTCTACCTGACCTGGAGCCATCAGGAGCTCCCTCATCTTTGTTCTAAAAATGAAAACAGGATGGACAGGGACAACAGTATAGTGATTGCTGGGGAGGAGGGAAGTATAAGGGGACTAAATGGTAATGGAAAAAAGTACAATAAAGAATAAATTTTAGTGCTTGCTTATGAACCAAAGGCTCACTTGTTTGATTCCCAGACAGAGCACCTGCCTGGATTGCGGGCCAGGTCCCCCAGTGGGGGGTGCACGAGGGGCCGCCACACACTGAGGTTTCTCTCCCCCTCTTTCTCCCTCCCTTCCCTCTCTCTAAAAATAAAATCTTTTAAAAAGTTTTTAATAAAAATAAAACACAAGTAAACCCTTCCTATAGCGCCCTCTACTGCCTTTGCCCCTCTTTACTATGAAATTACTGAAGTCCATTAGTTTCTATTTAATTTCTCAACCCCGTCGTAGCGGCGATAAAAGTAGATACCATAACAGCCTTGGAGAATCCAGGTTGGAGAAACAAATATAAAGGCAATTCTTGGCCACGTGGAGCATGACTGCCGTGACGCTAACTTCTCACATCTAATTGTCCAAACTTTTGAGTTCTCTCAACTCCGAGGATGGTATGTGGAGCTTTGCAGTGCGGTGTGTGGAAGGACGCAAGGGGCTCCCGCAGCCAAGGCTGGGACTGAGCAACTGGTCCAGTTTCCTTGTCAGCTGGGAATCATTACAAAACCCATGGGCCCATCAATGCTAGAAAATGCTTGGTAAGAGAAAATGCCAATTACCTTCCCTCTCTTCATGCCTACTCAGGTTATTTATGGGTTTATGTCTTAGCTCCTCCACTAGGTTGTATATCCTTTAAGAGTTAAGGCCTTGTGCCCTGGCTGGCATGCCTCAGTGGATTGAGGGCCAGCCTGCGAACCAGTGGGTTGCCAGTTTGATTCCCAGTCAGGGTACAGCCTGGGTTGCGGGCCAGGCCTCCCATAGGGAGCATGTGAGAGGCAACCTCACACTGATGTTTCCCTCCCTTCTCCTCTCCCTAAAAATTTTTTAAAATCTTAAAAAAAAAAAAAAAAAAAAAAAGGTAAAGGCCTTGGGAGTCAACTGTTACGAGTCAATATTTCTAATGAAAGTCCCTATTAGTTTCAGTAGTAAAATACCGTAACACCATGTTCCAAACCACCACCAACTTTGAATGACTAAAAACTTAAGCTTCCCGATTACATATCTAAAAATTTTGGATAAGAATTCCAGTTTATGAAGATATCCAGTTCTTTGGATCCACCCAGAATACATTATAAAACTTCAAATGATTATGTACTGGGTAAGCAGGGATTCTCCTCTAACTGTAGAGCAAGCCATACTTATACTGCCTGTCCTATTTTTTTACAACCCTCCAAAAATGGGGGGGAAAAAAATACCCAGTTCATGTGCCATTATGAACATGGGCTGAAGCAGGATCTGGCCCACAGGCTGCAGTTTGCCAACCTTGTTCTACAGAACTGGGTTAAGAGCCTTCGGACTATGCCTTTGTTTCCTCAGTCCTGGAATAGGCTTCAAAGCACAGCATGCCTTTAACAAATATTTGAATGGTTGATAAAAGCAATCCAGGTATTGTGAAATTGCCATTAGTTCTTGGGTTGGCAAATGGTAAAGGAAACACTGCAAAGCGTCATGGGCACGTATTATTTCCTAACTGGCAATTTAGTGGTGCCTGGTTGATCTTCTGATCACAGCTATTAGTCTTATAACCAAGTGCGGCCCTGTTCAAAAGAGCTGGTCTTTGACCTTCAGAAACTTAACACGAAGGGAGATTCTAGCAAAGGCAGAAATGGTCTGCTCCTTAAATATGGGGGGAAAAAAATTAGAATTCAGTGCAGTAAGATGGAGCAATAAAGACTTAAAAAGGCAGACAAGCTAGAACAAAATGTTTTATTATCAAAATAAAAACTTTGTATAAAAGCATTACAGATCAAAAGTTCTATTTACATTTCTTGATCCAAGGTCCAATTATGCATCTAACACTGAATGGAAAGAGCAACAGGCTGCACATGCAAAGTAAAATGGACAAACACTTAGATTCCAGCTCTATCATTAACCGTTTTATGATTAATGCAAATGGGGGAGGGAGAGACAACACACGACATCTGCCCAGAAACTAAAGTGGCAGAGATGTCAAGCTAACAAACTGGAAAATCGCTCATCTCCAAAAAGGCACTTCTCATTGTTCTAAAAGTGCTTAAAACCTGAACACGAACTTCTGCCTAGCTTATTGTTTCTTCAAGAAAACAAAATCTGCAAATTTTAGGCTAATATTAGCATCAATTTTCCAGGGAAAATGATCAAGAACTTATTTTAAATACCTTACATTTACGAATGGAAATGAACTTGGCAAACAACCATTATACTGAGGTTTAACACCATGAATCCAGACCAGCCTACTTCTGAAGGCTCGCCATCCGGGCTCCCTAGGGTGTCTCTTCTACAATGACTGCCAGGCAGGGCGCTGCCCACAATCCTTCGAGTTGTGACAGTGGGAGCCCAATGCACCACCCAATCTCAGAGTGGGAAAAAGTCAACAACTAAATCTCAGCGATGACAATTTGTGCAAAACACAATATATAGAATATTCTCATGAGGTGTCCAAAGTAACACACCCCACTTTCCAACAATCACCTTATCCCTCCACATGGTTTTCAGAACTTTTCACCTTGATTCTGTTAAAAATGTCAACTAGTGTGACAATCGTACCCACCGTCTTGTACAGACAAATTAGAGGGCTGGTATCAATAGATGTATTTAGTTAATGCCACTACCGCGTTTCTAAGTGCTTGGTTTTATATGTGAATTCCAGGGCTATTTCATCACCAGTTAAATCCAACATGCTTTCACAAGACTGTCACTTAAAAAGAATTCAAAAACTAGATGGAGAGAGAGACCCATTTGTAAAAACGGGGAGCTAATGTGGAGCGAAGGGCAGGGAAAAGCAGAGGAGAAACGGCAAGAGGGCGAAGCGCAGCTAGCAACAGGCCTCTGCGATGCTCACAAACACCTCTAATGAGAGTAACTTGATCTGCGTTTCCTATAGGGCAGACTGATCATCAGAATTCTTAACTCAGGTTTCCACCACAGGACAGAACTGCAAACTTCAACAAGGAAGACTGGCACAGTGGAAGGCAGGTAGTAGATCTTCCAAATATTATGCTTGCATCTCAAACTCATGCTTCAAACTGAAGAAATAAAAGGGGACATGTCAGGGTATCATTTTCAAACTAAGAAGTTTCTTTTGAAAGCCTAACCCACTCTTTTAAAGAATGTTTTTATTGCCCTCGCTGGGTAGCTCAGTTGGTTAGAGCGTTGTCCCAATACACTGAGGTTGCAGGCTTGATCTCTGGTCAGGGCAAATACAAGAATCAATTAATGGATGCATAAGAAATTGGAACAGCAAATCAATGCTTCTTTTCCTCTCTCTCTAAAAACAAAAGCTGTTGAGTTAGAACAGGTTTTAACATAACATGTTAACTGTACAACTTGAAATTTTATACACACACGCACATATGCAGGTCACTACCACCCAGATGAAGATATAACATGTTTCCAACATTCCAAAAGGCTCTCAATGTATCCCTTTCAGGTCAAAACCTGCACCCCCACCCAGAGATAACCACTGCTCTGACTTCTACCATCCTTTTAGTAAGACACATAAATAAGTGTAAGATCTTAGTGTGGAAAAGAGAAAAACCAACCATTACCTTTTCAAGTAAGCATGCACATTCCCAAAGCCATGGTATTTGGCTAAGTACACAAGGACCCCAGTCGCACACCGCCCATCTCGCTGACGGCAGAAACTGCAATTGCAGATCCCTCGACAAGGTGGGCAATGCCAGTTCTAAAGAATTGTGAAAAGGCACAATTAAATCATGTCTACTCCCACTCCCTCTTACTTATCTACTCCTGTTTACACTCTAAGATGGGTATCATCAATTGCTTTTAAATCTTCATTTAATTTAAAAAAAAACAAAACAAAACAAAAAAACCTTAACATGGTTAATATGCATCAGTTATGCCTAACATTCCCTTCAGAAGTCCAGCACAGAAAGCCTCACAGCAACTACCAGGACGAATGGAGAATCCGATTCCCCTGAACATCGGGTACCAAGCACCCTGGAAGGGGCTCACACCACCCAGCACCAGCGCTACGAGGGCACCCGCTTTTCAGGGAATGAAAGAGCCACAACACTAACAGCTCAACCCTTTCACTAATGTCATCTTTCTGGCCTAATCAGTTGGTGCCTGACCTTCAAGCCCAGAGAACCACCCCTTCAAGGCACCTACTGGATCCAGCAGAGCATCCTTGACCTCTTCTCCATAACGGTTTCGAAGGCAGGGGCCGCAGAACTGGCCTCGGACGCCCCAGCACTCTGGGTTTCTGCAGTTTGTTTTGGTATCAATGGTTTTCTGGCGGCACTGATGACAAGTAGATCCCTACAAATAAAAAAACACCACACCTTTTTGTAAAGAAAAATGGCATCTATAAATAATATCCTTTATGGGTATGGCCTGGCATTTTTAATCATTTCATTTCTTACATAAACATATATATACAGGGGCATAAAAAGTATCACAAGTACGGTGATTTCTTTCAATTGGCAGACTCAATATTATCAAAACTACCTTTCTTCAAATAAAGATCTTATCATGCAAAACACCTTGTCCCAAATCCTTTTTTTATCTTTAGCACACCACCATGTCCCCAGCACCCACCTACGCAGACACACATCATAGATACACAGTAAATATATCCTGGATGAGTCAATTTCTAAATTAAGAGAAAAGATTTAACGTTACTGAAGACTTGTTTGGATCATCAGCAAAACTCTAAGGATAGAAGCTATCCTTCCTCTCTCACAGATGTTTACATCTTCAGACATAAGGGAGAGGCGTTTACCAATGAACGGCTATATATCTTCTCTCGAGAATTGTTGCAGATGTTGTCCAACTCCTCCTCTGTAATTTCTTCCACCGGGCGAATTACATGTGGAAGGGTCATGGATCCGGGACGGCGACCTCTGCGCACATCATCTTCCTGCATAACCACAAGCAAGCACAGAACAGTGTTCTTAATGGCCCTTCCCAGCTCTGAATCCCACACACCTGATTTATAATTTCTTCACAGAGAATTCAACCTAGAAATCTTTCTCATGGAGAGGAGGCAAACCCAAAGTTTACAAGGCACTAACATGGGCCTGATTCCTACAACTAAGACAAGCCAACAAAGAAGAAAACTTTGACCTCCTTGCCTGCTCACAAAAATCATCAAATATTTCAGACATTCACAACTTGGAGGCATAAGAGAATCCATATATAGAAGAGAAAGCTTAAAAATGTAGTAGTGTGGCAAACCCTTTAGACAGAGTTCAAATCTTACTCAATGTAAGAAATTCTATAGCAGAGAAAAACCTTACAAATACGTTATGTGTCCGATTTGCAAGCCTTATTTAGCATCAGAGTACTGAATAGAAACATTATAAACTTAATTTATGTGCCAATGCTTTTATTCAAAGCTCAAGCTTTGGGGCTCATCAAAGAATTCAAGTAGAAAGAAACCTTACACATATGATTGAGATAAAACTTAACACAAGTGCTCAAGCCTTACTCAACATCAAAGACTCCACTGTGGAGAGAAACCATATATTAGGTTGGCCAAAAAGTCCATATGGTTTTTTCCATAAAATAAAAAACACGTTTTTAATTTTCACGAATAACTTTATTGATTTGGATATTTTGAGTATGTCGGCTATGTCCTGTTGTTATAACGCTGATTATTCTTAATTAATGTCTGGATTTGATCACTATCAACTTCTACTGGTCTACCCGACCGTGGAGTATCATCCACTGAGAAATCTCCAGCACAAAACTTCACAAACCACTTTTGATACGTTCAACTGGTCACAGCACTTTCTCCATACACTGCACAAATCTTTTTTCGTTTCAGTTGTGGTTTCACCTTTCTTAAAATAGTAAAGCATAATATGCTGAAAGTGTTGCATATTTTCTTTCATCTTCAGTATTAAAATGGCTACACAAAAATTCACCAATTTTGCTAAGTTTTTATTTAAATGCATACTGATATAACATCTGTCACCATACAATCTAACAAAATTGTTTCAAATGAAGTTAAAGACAACTAAGCACTGCTAGAGCCATCTTAGAAAAAAACAACAACAACAAATGAACTTTTTGGCTAACCGAATTAAACTCATAGGTGTGGCAAAGCCTACAACCAGAGCTCATACCTCACTTGATACCAAAATATAAACAAATGACAAGTCTTATCCAAAGTTTATGCCACACAGAACATAACAGAATTCTTACTAGGGAGGAACCTTACAAAAGTATTGAGTTTGACAGGCTTTATCAAAAATGTACAACTTTGTGGTCAAGATAGAATTCCTATAAGATGGAAACCATACAAATGTGTCAAGACCTTTGGCAATGATCTGGGTACACCAAAGAATTCCTACTGGACAGAAACATTACAAATGTAATGAAGATGCTAAGTATAATCAATTCTCTCAATGAACATAAGAAAATTCATACCAGGGGGCACCAAGTTTATTACTTTTGAAGATTAACCAATGTCACGTGTTAAGTTCCACAGAGAATTAAAAGTGAACATTATTTAAAACTCATGAGAATGCCGTGTGTCAATGGAGCAAGGGAATCTGTGGAAAGGTCTAATTATCTTCAGCTTATAAAATGTTCAATTATTTAAGGTTTCTTGAAAAGGCTATATTGTCACTGATGACTTAAAAAAAGAAAAAAAAGAAAAAAAAAAAAAACCAGCTATCAAGCCCTGGCCAGTATGGTTCAGTCAAGTCGGAGTATCGTCCGGTGGCTGAGGGGTGGTGGGCTCAGTCCCCAGTCCGGGAGCGTGTGATCCCCAATCCAGACACCTATGGTAGGCAACTAATCGGGTGTTTTCTCTCTCACACTGATGTTTCTCTCTCCCTTCCTTTCTCTAAAAAAGCAGTGAAAAGAGATGTCTTTGGGGGAGGATAAAAAAAAAACTTCTAATCATCTAATAGGTTGATGTGACATTACGATTCTGAATGGTTTGAGAAGAATGTTTAACGTGAACCATCTGGTGTTGAAGCTGTGTGTGTACCTGTGTTGTGTATGATACTGAGACTCCAGAAGATGAAAAACAGAAGAGCAAGCACAAATGTGCAGAACTCACGTTCATGTAGCCGTCCATGGTCTTCCTCTTTCTCACCAACATGTACTTATCCTCCTCCTCTTCCTCCTCCTCCTCTGTGGGTAGAGCGCTAAGGGACCCAAGGATCCGGGACCTTGATCTGGTAAGAGGACGTACTCTCCGGTCAGGGTTTCTCCTAGAAGTAACACCTGGGAAGGTGCGCCTTCGGGGTGTCTTCGATTGCTGAACAAAACACACAATACAGAACCCATTTATTCCAGGATGAAGAAAGTGGCATCTTCTCCTTACGTTTTTAAGTAAAAGGAGAGCTCCATTTCCTAATTTTCTTTGTGCTTTTTATAAGGCATAGAAAATGAGCCCAAAAAACGACATAGCCATTGTAATTTTGCTTTTTTTAACACCAAGCCCAGTTTTTCTCAAACTGAGAAATAATTTACTTATTCATCTACATAATAAAGATGTAAGAACAAATCTCGTTTTCCACAACCACCTTTTCTACGACATCTCTTTGAGCCCTGACACATACTCACTGTTTCTACATTGCACAAGAGAGAAACGTATGTATGGTTTTCCTTCTTCCATTCCTTGTTCACTTCTTTCCTTCCTCTCCCCAAGGAGGGATGGGGAAAGAAGGTATTTTCTTTTGTACCACAGCAGACACATCAAATTCCCTGAGTTGCACCAGCTTAGTTCCTCAGAATATAATCACACATATGTTATTAGGCCATGATTTGGTTAAAAAATCTTTTTTCCTTTGCAGATTCTAAAAACATCTATTACTATACATCTACCATGAAAGAGAAATGTACTAATGCTGAGAATACAGGAAAAATATTTTCCCATCTTTATTCCTTGCCCTTAAGAGGTTTAGTCTAGCTGGAAAGTGAAATAACTGATCAAAAGGGAGTGAGACTGCTCGAGCACCCCAGGACACAAGGAGGAGCGCCCAGAGGTCTGCCTGAAGGTTTCCTCTACTTCCTCCTTGTCTGCAAGACCACACAAAATAAGGAGCTTGGATTTTCTCAAATATTGTAACAAATCTACTTTAGACCTGCCCATACTACTACTACTACTACTGAACAAGCAAGGATTTGCACTTACAGAACTGCGGCGTGGGAGGGAATGCCGTCCAGGGAATGAGCCCGGAAAACTTTCTAATTCCGACATGAGTTTTGCAAGCTAAAAAGGGACGAAATGAAGCAAAAATTATTGGTTTAGAATGACTGCTGAAAATGAGCAACTTCTAGAAATTGCTGTAGTACACCTCAAAGAGTTTCTGATTTTCCTGATACACTTACCAAGACATCAATAGATTTTTTTTTTTTAAAGAAAAGTTAGTTTAAGGAAAGAAACACATTTTAAAGCACACCTTGTAAAGACTTCATAGCTACACTGAAAGCAATTCTTGACACAAACAAGCAACAAGTGGCTTAGAGAAAAGCTGGGAAGAGTTAATTCTAACACATTCCAAGTCAGGTACCTACCATTGCTTTGTTTTGCTTTATATTTAAAGCCCTTTTCTCCAAAAAATTCATGCCATTTTCATCTTCTGAATCAGAATTGGGATCAGGCACCGCTTTCTCTGCAGGTTCAGGGGCCGCTGCTCTTTTGCTGGCTGCACCCCTGGTCCTTCGGGTCGGAAACGCCATGGCCACCCGGAGCGGTCCAGACCGCCCGCACTGGCTGCGAGTCCTACAGCCCTCGCCGTCTGGCTGTAACCTCTAGTTAATCAGAACAATTGAGTCATTAAGGACTGGTTTGTCGAACAGGCTACAGCAGCATGACTACAGAATCCCTTTTGAACAAAAGACATTTGCATCAAATAGATTTTAATTGACCACTTTGTCAATTTTAATGGATAGCTCTGGATAACAAAGTCAGGAATTACAAATAAATACAACAATCTGAGTGTAACTGAATTCAGGTAGCCCATCTGGGACACAGTGTTAAAAGCCTCTTCCCGGCCGTAGGCCAGTAGTTTCGAGCCATTTTGTTTAAATGTGAAAATCCCAACTCTCTTTTTAATTTAAAAATAGATCCTTAGGTATTTTAAAAGAATTCCTACAGGAACAAAGATGTGCTCTTCCATAAACATGGCTGCAATGCTTATGGCATTAAACATATTAAAGATGCCTCAAGGCTTTCATCTACTTTTTAAAAAAAACGGCGGTGAAATATATGTAACATAAAATTTCCCATTTTAACCATTTTTAAGTGTACAATTCACTGGCATCAAATACATTCGTGTTGTGCAACCATCACCTCCAGGCCGTTTTCATTTTCTCAGACTGAAACTCTGCCTGAGAAAATGAAAACCCACTCAACAGCTCCATTCCCTCCCCCTACGCCCCCCCGCAACCACCGATGTGCTGGGGGGCCATCTGAATCTGCTGCTCTACATCTCTCTCTCACCCACTTTTATGAAAAGACTAAAATGTTTTAAAAATTGGTATTTTAAAAGTAATGTAGATTTCCACTATTAAATGTGTATTAAGATTAGCCACTGGGGAAATGCAAAGGAGTATCACAAAATACCACCTCATACCCAAATACAGTCCTGGCTGGCATGTAAAACGGTACAGCCACTTTGGAACACAGTCTGTCAGGTCCTCAGAAGGTTAAACAGAGTTACTCTGTGACCTAGCAATTCTATTCCTAGGTATATACTCAAAAGTGTAGGTCCACACAAACCTTGTACATGAATGTACGTAACAGCATCATCCATAATAGTCAAAAGGTACAAACATCCCCAACACCCATCAGCTGGTGCACAGATAAGTAAAATGTGGTATATTAATACAAAGGAGTATTATTCAGCAATAAAAAGGTATGACATACTAACACATGCCACAAAATGGAAGAACCTAAGTAAAACAAGCCAGCCACAAAGGACTGCGTATTGTAGGGCCCGTTTCTATGAAATGCCCAGAACAAGCATAAATCTACAATGACAGCAAACAGGTTGGTGGATGCCAAGGACCTGAGTGTGTAAGGAAAAGATGCTAAATAGCTGTCATTGGGTATAGGGTTTCACTTTGGGGTAATGCGAATACCCTAAAATAGATTGTGGTGATGACTGAGAAAAAAAGTAAACAAAAAAACCAAAACAAACAAAAAAACCCAACCCAGAATAAATATCCCCCAGAAAGCCCCAGAAAGGCAAGACCCATTTTTAAACTGAAAAATTTCTAAAATCCCCACACGCTTTTACTCTTCTTCATGTACTTCCAGTGTGCGTGGATTGAGACTATAAAATGCCAAAAAACTTTTGAGTTCTGAAGACTTTTAATTGATTGGCATTTTATTAATTGCAACAATCAGCAACTGTAAGGAACTGAAACAATGACCAGATGTGACTCAGGCTGTGGACAATGTTTGGGTCGCATCCAGATTTTCAGGCCAGCCCTTGCAGGAACTCCAACATGCACTGCGTTAGACCAATCTTCCTTATTACAGGAAATATTACATTACCATGAAGTCAGAGAGCGATAAAAACATTCCCTGGCCAGGGAGTCTCACTTATGTCAGTTATCACTCAAGTGTGGTCCCAGGCAGTCAGACCACACTGAGCTGAGCAGCACGCACCTGACTGCAAATCAACACACTGCTTCCTTTGTCAAGAAAGCCTTGCTAACAAGAAAACATCTGCAGAACAGTATGTTCAGGGAGAGTGTGGGACCGAGGTGCAGCAGCAGCAGCAGTGGCCTGAGCAGGAGAGGTTACAAAGGTAAAGCAGTGTGCACAGGAAAAGCAAGACCAAGGAGCAAAAGTGGAAGCAGGAGGGGCCCTAACTGTCATTATCTGCACTCAAGCCCCTGCACATGGGTTACCACAGGTTTTCCGAATGCAGAGATCCACTACGAGAACATTTACCAAAGGTCGGGTCTATGCCAGGCACTGGACTGGGCCCTTGAACTTAAATGTGAGTACGCCTCCTCTTGAGGACACCTTGCTTTTCCTGATTAGGCTGAATTTCTATAATGGAAACCTGGAGGTTGGCCGATTTTATCTTACCAGTTTCCAAGATTTTCAGAGCCTACGAAATGTTCAGGCATTAAAAGTAGGACTACTTTAGTAAAAATTGCTTTAAGACATAAATACTCTTAAATTTTAAAAAGATCCACAATATCTCTGGCATGACTAAAATGAAAATTACAAGAAAAAAGAGCTTTTTTAAAGCAAGTACGTCATGCCTCAAAACGTACTTTACTTCTTGATATTGGTGAAATTTTCAAACTCACCATTCCATCTTGTATCTCACTCTCTGAGAAACCGCAAAATGATTCATCGTCAGAGTCGGCGTGAAAAATACTGGCCAGTTCGTTAGTGACATCTGGCCTTGGTTTCTGTAAAAATCCACAATGGTCTAACACATCTTGCACCTCACTTTCTGAAAAGCCGCAGAAAGATTCATTATCAGAGTCCTCATAAAAAACATTTGCCAGTTCTTCACTGATATCTGACCTGAATTTAGGTTTCTGTAAAATAAATAAATAAATGTGGTTGTGCATTTTCCCCCCTTTTCAAGAACCAATTTTCCATAAACCGTGCAGAGAGCAAATCACATTCACAAGTGCACTACAAGAGAATAGCTTTTGTTACAAAGAAAAATGGTTCAGAGGTTTACAAATGATTTCTGAGTTGTTATGGCAAATCATCAAGCATGTTAGGTTAGGCGACATTTCAAAAGGATAGAATAAGTAGCTAATCTACCTCCAACAATTACTACCTAGAACCACAGCAAAAAGTGAAATGAAATTACAGTGCATACTGTATTTTCATAACGGCTGTATAGAAATGTAGGCAAAAAGCAAGCAGTTTTAATCACGCACAAAGCATTTGGGGCATTTTGAGCACTGCAGACTCAATTCTGTTTATTCTCAGGCAGCACTTACCGTGTTTGCAAAATTATCAGAAGCGAAGCTGTCACAACTGTCATCAGAGGATGACGAGGTTTCCATGGAAATCAACTTCACATAGCTGAATTTCTTGAAGTTCTTCTTTACTCTGCGACCCTTCTGCTGCAAATGGAAATGGCAATACTATTAAGCGGATGCTCACTACAATATCTAACTAGACATCATTTTTAGTTTAGTAAGTTCAAATAGCACAGATATGTCCATTTCTTATGCCCTACATAGAAAAGGGGGAATTTGCAATTGCTACAAAAAATTTTTCAAAACTAGGTAAAATTCTACAAAGGGATCCCTTTGAAGGAAACCTGTGATGATATTTATCAATTTATTCAACATCTGTAGAGCTACCCCTGTACCCACCTGAAGAGTCCCCAGGCTCTTAGCATTATACTGAGCTCCCATGGAGTTCAATGTCAAAATCCTAAAATCTAGCCTTAAAAAAAAAAAAAAAATTGGACTGCACTTCTAAATTACAAAATGGTAGAATTTCTTTCGCTCAGCCAAAATCAAGCTAAGGAGGTCTTTTTATGTAAGCTTTAGGCTATATACTGTGATGCTTGTTCCCAAAGTACAAAATCGGGACAGTACCTCTACTTCAAGATGGCAGGCTTTCAAATAGGCCTTGTCCCAATCGGGGTTGGGGCGGGTTGAGTGATTTCAGCACAAGTCCTTACAAACCATATATACCAACCCAGTGAACAAATGTATAAGGAGCCAAATTAAAGGTCAAACAGCACTCCAAACGCAGGTAGAATGGCTGACTCTACTCCAGTACTCCATTAGCCTGGCCTGACTTTCAGCTCTTAAACAGTCCCCTTGTTATACAAGTCTTAAGATTTTAAATGTCCTTTCATAAGGCACAAATTATTTGTAGATATGAAAATGCTTCTTTCATGCGAAAGTACTTTATAGCCTTGACTGCTCATCAGAAAATGAAACTGCCATCATGTAAAAAAGAGCAGTATCTGGCATTTAAAATGTAGTGAAATTTCTTAATGTTTCATTAGGTCCTATATTTTATTTTCCTAAATATGGCCATGGAATAGAAGTGACTCCTTACACTGAAACCTTTGAAAGAGCAAGCTCTGCTATGGGTCTCATCAAATAACACCAAGATGTGAGTGTTTGGTGAACCTAACATTCTTGACCTTCCTTCTACACCTAGCATTATGCATTTCATTGCAGTCTCTTACAAATAAAATTATTTTCATGATGATGGTACCCAACCACCACCCTATGCTCCGAAGTAGACTCCATTCTTCAATCATCTTAGAAAGTTTGTCATTTGTCCATTTAGAAAGGCAAGAAAATACGGTAAAAAATAGAGCTCAGTACCTATTAAAAGGAATGTCAGACCCTGGCTAGTGTGGTTTAATGGATTGAACGCTGCCCTGCAAAAGGAGAAGTTGCAGGTTCAACTCCCTGTCAAGGCACATGTAGTGGCCAGGTCCCTCTCTTTCTCCTCTCTCCACAAATAAATACATAAAATCTTTAAAAAATAAGTAAAAAGTAAAAGGGATCTCAGAACCTCCTTCATTTTCTAGAAGAGGAAATTAAAAGCTCCAGGGAGATGAAATAAATCATCCGAGATCATAGGACTAGAAGGAGAACTCAAGGTTGCAACCTTCTAAGAAGCAGAGTTCTTGCATTAGTACAGGAAGTATTGCCATTTACTCATCAATCTATCTGCAAGCAGAGGCCCAAGGCAGATTCAAGGAAGGCATTCTGCTGGAAGCTGCCAAGGACATACTAGTATATGCTTGGCTTTCAACATGTCAGCGCACGCCAAGAGTTAAAATGTTGTATTTGGAGGAAAAGTCATAGAACAAACAAGCAAATAGTCATGGTTGAGATAAAATTTTTTGGCAGGCAGGTAATAACTGTTTCATAGGTGTTTTTTGTTGTTGTTTTTTTTTTTGTACCAGGCACTAAGTATGCTTTCACATTATAACTGACTCCTTGCAACGAAGGTGTATCATGATTCCCATTTAACAAATAGGGAAACTGAGGTTCAGAGAGATGCCATGGATTATTAAAGCCACACGATGGCCTCAATTTGAACCTAGGCACATCAGATTCCAAACTCAAGTACACAGGGCTTCTTCATCCCGAAAGCCTAATAATAACTTAGTTCCAGCGACTTCTGAAACCACGCCCCCAACACGCTCTCCCCAGCCCCCAGCCTCCCTCCAGTGTGTCTTACCCTAGGTATTTTAAGCACACAAGCTCTTCCTTTTCACCCAACCCCCACCTTCTAACCTCTCATGGGGCAGACCCTACGTTCCGGTTTCCGTTAAGAGCAAAAAAGTAACGTTCCATTTAGGCAACATTCTGCAGTTTTGAAAATAAGCCTGGGGGCTGGGGAAGGGAATGGGGAAAAAGCGAATGGCTATTAAGAGTTCGGTCCGCCAAATCCTTCAATTGCACTTCATCACCGCCTCAGACCAGGAACACCTCCGCCTACTTGCTTAATCAAAGTGTTTGTAGGACCTTTAAACTTCAAACCCATTGACCTGACCGGTTAGAAGCGGCATGGCTGAGCCAAAAGTGGATGGGGAGCTCACCAAGGTCCCCACAAACCAGTGCGCGCGGGTGGAGGCGCCCACCCGCCCTGAGTTAAACATTGTAAAGGGTTGGACATCCCGCAGGGTAAACTCCCAGGGAGCCGCGGTTGCAGCGCTCTCCTCTGCGTTCCACAGGCCGGGATCGGACCCGCAAACACAGTGGGGAGCCTGCGGATACAATGGGGAGACCGGCCAGGCGGGGCTGCTGTCCGGCGCACGTGCATGTCGAGCACATGTGGGCTTGGTCTCCCCAGCGCTGCCAACTACACTTTAACCGGTCAAATCTTTGAACCGCCTGCGCACCGGTTGCGCACACCCCCAGGCCCCCCCAATTATGGCAAGTGCAAAAAATTTGGGACTTGCCTAAACGGGCGCCGTCCAGGACGACCACCAGTTGATAAGAAACCCTAACTTCTCGGAGTTGGAGGGAGTCGCCCCGCGCCCAGTACCCACCGTGCCCTCCCGACTTTGCCCGCCAAGCCCTCACCCGCACGCGGCGAGTATCCATGCTGGCAGCAAGGGCCCAGGCCGAAGGTTGGAGAAGCGAGACCGAATAGCCGCGCGCGCCGTCCTACCAAGCAGCAGAGTCGGGCGGGCAGGGCGTGCAGACCCTGGCCCCAAAGGGCGGGGCTCGGACTGGCTTTCCCGCGGCGCGGCGCAGGTCCTGCAAGCTGTGGTAACGGCCCTCCAGGGCACGCGACCCGCTCAGCCTCCGAAATAAAACCGACCCCCAAAATATTCTGAGCTCCAGTGACTGCCTTGGAATTCCCTAAAATCAGGCTGAAAAGGTGGCCTTTTTAGAGCTTCAGGACTTCCTTTTTTACGTTGCTGCACGGTCCTGAACGAACGGCGCGAAAGTGGTTCGTATTGCCCGGGGGTTAGCCAGCTGATTTGCATGAATGCTGGGGCTGGGGACGAAAATGTGAAAATGAGGGTGATAGAAAGCACCGCGAGGGTCCTGTGAGTCCCTGCACTTAGCACTTTCATTGTGGCCTGCAGTTTACATTACTAAAAACAAAAATCAAAGAATCAAGCACGAACTCCACCTTTTATTAGATCAGTCACTGTCTCTGGGTGTAACACTTGTTATCTGGTAGCCACGCCATTATCTAAAGCAACCAAATGTGTTCAATCCTGATCTTTTTTACAGCAAAGCATAGGAAGCCGAGTTGTTTTGCCTGGCTTGAGGTTTATTAAACTAGAAAACTGGCGCTGCTGTTAAGACACATCTATGGGACAATAACGTCTTTAGAGATGATGTATTGTGGATAGAAGCTAAAGACAGTATTAATGTGGCTTGAAGATCTCTCCACCCCACCCCACCCCACCCCCACCGTCGGAATTTAGGATTACTCAATTCAGAATGAACATGAGCTATTTTTCCTTGCTCTTTTACTCAAATTTGATATTACAACGAAATAAAGTGTGAAACAAATGTTCGTAGAGGTCAGGAAAAAAGTTGTTCTTAGAAAAAAAAGTAAAATAAACGGGGTTGTTTTGAAAGACCCTAATTATAATCTTAAATTTAAAACAAGTGTTTGAAAACACTCCATTTTCCCCCTTCCGAACTTTTCCCTAGAAAAATTCCTTTGCAATATGGAGTGGGCGTGAACACATAGCGTTCCTCTTCCGATGCAATTAATACAAAAACTTGTGAGCAAGTAATAATGCACGAGAACAATGGATTGGAAGAATTGGAAGAAACTTGGTCGCCACGTCTTCCAACCTTTCTAAAAACACCTGGCCAGGGTCCCTGTGTCACAGTGCAAGGGACAAAGAACTCATGGTCTCTAAGGTAGGCGCCAGGAGAGACTGTTGGTCTGTCTGGTGAAATTCCTGGCAGTAGTGGGAGCCCTCAATAAATATTCGTTGAGCAAATAAGCAACCATGTGAATGGTGAATGAACTAAAACTGTTAGTGCTGTGCCCTTGGGAATACAGTCTTATGCCACTAAAATTAAATATATGAGAATTTGAAATTGTGAAATGCATAAAATGAGAGAAGATTAAGTCACTTTGCCTATGAAAGGTTCTGACAGGAAAATTCTTAGCCCTCCAGAAGCACTAGAAAATAATTTGGTTTACATACTTTTTTAAGGATCGGATCTGACAGTCTTTTTAGTAATCAGGCAAATGCAAATTAAAACAAGAAGATACAGTTTCACTCAGACTGGCAAAAATTTAAAAGCCAGGTGTTGGCTAAGGATATGAGGAAATTCCAGCAATGATGTTAGTAAAGTGCAATTTAAGAGTGATTAGTAAAACCCAACAAAACCACTTCCAGGTATTTTGGTGTTGGGTTGGGGTTTTTTTTAAGATTTTATTTACTTATTTTCTGAGAGAGGGGAAGGGAGAAAGAGAGGGAGAGAAACACTGATGTGTGAGGGAAGCATCGGTTAGTTGCCTCTCATAGGGCACCAACTGGGGACTTGGCCCACAACCCAGGCATGTGCCTTGACAGGGAATCGAACCGGCGACCTTTTGGTTTGCAGGCTGGTGCTTAATCCACTGAGCCAGACCAGCCAGGACTAAAACAAAGTCTTTCATGCTGCAGGCTCAGCTTAGTAGTTGCATCTAACATATTTTTTTTTCTTCTAACTTTGTGAAATAAAATAAAAAATAAGAGTAGTGTGAGTATTGTTTCCTGAAACATTTGTGTCAATTGTGTGTTTGTGTGTATACTGTATAAAAACTGTATTTCATGTTGTACTTCACCATCAATTACGTTTTCCATGTACTGTCCTGGAGAATGTGCATGATGGGTGTTGTACTGATGCTCTCTCATTCGGTCAAGGATTGCCAAATGGCAAGTTTACATAGAGGCACTGTTCCAAGTACTGGGGACACAAAAGCCAGGAAGTTGACATGCTAGTAGAAAAGTAGAAGTAAACAAATAAGATAAATGCAGGTGTGAAACCTTCTGAAAAGAAACATAAAAGCAGCAGAAGGGGATAGGAAATGAAAGAAGTACCAATTTAGATAAGAAAAACTTGAAAGACTTTTCTAAGGAATGTCAGGGTCAAGAACCTGAACAAAGAGAGGGAGATGGAGAATGTGCGGGCTCCAGGCAGAGTGAACAACTGGTTCAAAGTCTCTGTGGCAGTGACCAGTAGAAGCCCAGTATGCTGGACCTTAGAGAGCTAGGGAAAGAGAGGGGAAGGGGCCAGATGATGTGGGGGCTTCATGGCCATGGGAAGAGTTTTAGACTTTATCCCAGGTGGGATGGGAAGATTTGGATGAAGGAAAGACCCAATCTGACCCCATGAGCTGTGTGAACTACAAACATAAGGGGAGCAAACGTGGAAGCTGGAGACACTTAGGAGCCCCTGGCAGAGAGAATGATGGCTTGGTCTGGGTTCCTTAGGGGATAAGGAAAAGCGGTCAGATTTAAGATGTATTAATTTGAGGGTAGAACTAATCAGACCTAAGGGATGGATGGTTCATCCGTAGTACCATTGTGTATCAGTAAAGTACTGCAGACAATCTACATGCCCTCAGGGGGGAAACGGATACATGAACAGTGGTATATTCATGCAATGGAATTTGAACAGTAGTTCAAATGAATGGCATGGCTTACTTGCATCAGTGTAGGTAAATATCCTTTTTTAAGTTCTTAGTTTAGTAATTCTCTCATGAAAACTCTACACAGTTGCCACAGATAAATTCACTTACGAGCCTTTACGTCTTTTGCGAGCACCGCATTGGCCTTTGCAGAGCCCCCGATCTTCTTCATTCCTTTCCTATGTTCCTTTCACTGTTTTCTTGAGGTCTTCTTCTCCTCATACAGGCCATGTTGTGCAACTCTATGTTTGGCTTCACTTTCCTTTGCATAACCCAATAAATAAATCATGCCAAAGCCAGCTGTCTTGCCACCACCAAAATGGGTTCTGAATCCAAATACAAAAAATGATATCTTATACATTTTGGTTAGTTTTTCCCAAATTTCTGTCTTAGGTACTGTTGTCTGCCCAGGGTGAAGGGTGTCATTCACTGTTTGTTTCTGCTGAAGTCATGTGCTGGTCCTGAACCTCCTGGTTCAGGTAGTAACTGTGTCCTTCACGATGGCAGCCAATCTTTAAGCTTCAGGGAGGAAAAGAGTGTATAGACAAATCTCAACAGTGTTGAATGAAAAAGCAAATTGAAAACGTTTCTGCAAAGTGTACCTCTTAGGCAAATTTTCAAAACACAGCACATACCTAAGTTGTGAAATTATAAAAACATGGGTAAGCAGAGTAGGGTACAGGGAAACTCTGAGGAGAGAACGATAGAGAAAAGAGGGGAGGGTAATATCTTCAACTATATTAGTGCTTCCTTTAAAAACCAATGGTATGGCCCTGGCTGGTGTGGCTCAGTAGGTTGAGAGCCGGCCCTTGAACCAAAGGGTCGCTGGTTCTATTCCCAGTCAGGGCATGTGCCTGGGTTGTGGGCTACATCCCTGGTTAGGGGGCATAGAGGCAACCAGTCAATGGTTCTCTCTCACACGGATGTTTCTCTCCTTCTCTTTCTCCCTCCCTTCCCCTCTCTCTAAAAATAAATAAATAAAATCTTTTAAAAAATCAATGGTATGAAGCAATATGCAAAAGTAGTAAATGTGTTAAATGTGAGGGGTGGGTACATGAGTGTTTTTTATATTTTCACTCTCCATGGGTTTTCTTTTTTTGTATCTGTAATATATTATAATAAGACCTTTTAGATATTGAAACATTTGTCCTTCTCATATGTGTGTGTGTGTGTGTGTGTATGTATTTGTAGTGTTAAATATACAATCCCTTTATAGGGTCTTATAAATGGGAATACAAGTCTGTCCTGCAATTTTAGGTACCTCATAAAGGTTTTAAGTCACTATGTTAATCATAGGCTGGTAAATATGTTCATTTCGAATGGAAGATATAAAATGAAGAAGAATGGAGTGTGCAGAGAATAATGGGAGCCCAGGCCACAGCAACAGGTAGTAAAGAATGACATTTCATAAGCACATACCTGCCTTATACAGACAGAATACTTGATACGAAGACTGTAAATACAACAGTACTCAGCAAATTACTACTAGCTAGAATGATTGAGATAGAATTTTTAATCTGGAAAACATTTTAAAATATCAGTCTGCTGTTCAAGAGCTTTGAATTCCTCGGAATGGTAGGAACTTTTAAGGATCGTTGTATGTTGTCCTGTAGCTTTTATTCACCTTGCACAAAAAATTCCATTTCCTTACAACATTAAGTTTGAAACTTAGTACTGAGGTTCTGGGAACTCAGCACTTGTATAAAGATGTGAGCCGAAGTCAAACTTGAACTCAAGACGATCGGTTTTACAACAAATAAAACAATAAGATGTATCCTTTTTAGACACTATTTCAAAGCAAAGTTAATGTCCCAGCAGATGTGCTGCCCTAAGTCCCACACACTTCCTCCTCTCAGACAAGGTAACATGAGCCCAGGCAGCTCAGTAACCTTCAATAGACCATACACACTCCGAGACAAAGGGCTGGAAAGAGTTCTCACTGTTTATGGATACAGACAGGTTGCAGTCTGTCAGGTCACAAATCTCTATTTTAAATAAACCTCTAATTATAGATTTACCTCCCCAGTGCCGG